CCGAGGCGAGGGAGCGTTCAAACATGGTGATACCGATGCTGCCCTGCAAATGTAGCTGGTGCCAGGCGGGTTTTGAAATCGCCGCATTTGGTACGACAGCATCGAATCACGTAGGCTTCGAGACGGCGTGAGACGGCACAGAGGCTTTGAGCGCATTGGCGCCCAGAAGCTCATCACTAGGCCTTGCGGAAGTTCAAGACTTTCTCACTTTCTTATCACGTGTAACCCGTCACGGTGCTGTATTTGGTGACGAAATGCTGGCCTTGATGGGTGTGCTGCTGAAGGGTTTCCCACACCCGGGCTTCTGAAGTGGATAAAAACAAATCGGAATTCTGCTGCCGTAGCTTCCCAAATTCATCCTGAGAGCTGCCGATGCATCACGAGGGATTCGTCACATCCTGCTCACGCAAAAGAGAGCACTAGATGTGCAGTATCAACCGCGCTAACCACTTGCGGGAACGCCACGTTTGAGACAACTCTACATTTCAGCATCAGCAGGGATGCCACGATCCAGTACAATCTGAGCAGCTGTGCTCCTCTGACCGCATGGGAGTGGGAGTATCGCGGGCTCAGCGATACTGAGGCGCAAATCGGCTCATCTGTGATGTGCAGCCAGTTTGTCCGAGCTGGCCAGGTCGACGGCAGATGGGGTGAGCCCTTCCAGCGCGTTCTTGGTCGAACAGCTTGCTGTCGTGACTTCTTGCAAGTTTCGGTGGGCTTGCAGTTGCCGCAGCTCAGAATCACGCTGAAACTTGCATTTACCGTCGGCTTGCAAAATGATGTTGTCGAAACCATTGTGCCGCCCCCGCAGACGTTATTCATCGGTTCAAAAGGTGGCAAGCCACACTTTCTGCAGATGTGGCCTTAAGGGTCCCGTCTTCAGGAGGAGGTGCCCCAATGTAAAGCCGCAAGCCTGGAGTTGCATTCTTTGTAACTAGACCCTACGACTGGCACAGGTGGCTGCAACGAGGCTGACCGTCGATGCCGCAGGGAGATGAGAAAGAGACTGACGCAGCTCCTTCTGAATGGTTGTGATTGGGTTTTGTCACTTGCGGATGGGTTGCAAGCGCCTGTGTCTCCCTCAGCGTCTTAGGTCAACATGTGGTCTCCGGACAAGGATCGAAATGAGAAAGCACAGCTTGGAGACACGAGGCCCGGCATTTCGGGCCATCGGTCGAGATGGTTCATCCGTGCTGCGGCGAGTTTTGGTTCCAGCCAGTTGGCCTTGCTCAGGCAAGGAATTGAGAGGAAGTCAACAGTCGAGGACTTGCAAGACAAGCTGCAAGTCGTCGCTGGCCTCGGATCAGCGGCAGCCATGACAGGCAATGTAACAGATAGTTGTGCTCGGAAGAGCTTAAGGCCTTGTCTGCCTTGGACGAAACCAAAGGACTCGGTTGCGGGGTTTTCTGTGACTCAGAACACTTCTTGCAAAGATTCATAACTCTGTTTGCAGGAGCCCTGGATGCTGCGCAGAAGCGCGTTTCCGAGCTCGAGTCCTCCGTTGCACCGGCACCCGAAGAGGAGATGTGGCTCGGACACAGAAATGCTTCAGGCTTCGAGCCTTAGGGGTTATTTCAGGGTGTATATAAAGTTGAAAATCGGGGTTCACGTCGGGTAGAACACCAGAGTCCCGAGACCGACACCGAGACCGGATTCCTTGGCATTCTGCTTTCTTCGATGACTATAGTCTCTTTCACGCTCCCTCAAACGCCACTCTAAGACTTGTGGATTCCAGCGGCCAGGATGCTCTCCAGACAGCTTCAACTTTGGCGTTACGGGTAAAGCTTCACCCTCTCCGGCAAAAGGTATGTAGGGATGTGTCATCGACGCCTTGTGCGCTTGTCTTTTGCATCTGCATCGTCACTTGACTCTGGTGCCCACTCGCACGACGACGCGGCGAAGGATTTGGGGATAAGCCGAGTTTCCCAAAGAAGGGCTTCCTCAATCTATTTCTCCCGAGAACCGACAAAACTGATAAGATCGTATGGCATTTGACACAGCCGAGGCCGGTCAATGTCAGAATAGAAGCATTGAAGGCCTCGATGGCTTTCGTGGCAGTAGTTGCAGTGGAGACTTGGCGGACCTGGTTTAGCTGGGTCATGGAGTGTACATTGCGCGCACCGGGGCTACTCGCTGTAATGGGGCAGCAATGCCTCAGATTGTGGTCTGCCAATGACATCGAGCACTAAGTCCGAATTCGCATTTCCGTATGGAGCTCCCTTGCTCCAGTACCCAGGAAGCCGTCTATTTCGTATTCATCCTCGATGAGCGAAACAAGTTTGGCGAAGCTAGCTGCGCCGGCGTTGCCGCTGTTGCCTTGAGGTTACACATCGGCAGGGTTCATTGGTTCACAGTTAAGTGGCTTCAGTCCGGAATGGACGTCAGAGGCTGGTGTTGAGGTGCAGTGGAGCTTCGCACACGCGCACACACGCACACATGCACACATGCACACTCGCAAGCAAATCGCCACATACACACACAGAAAATACAAAATATAGGGACATGAAAAAAAATATATATATAAACTACATACATACATACATACATACATACATACACACACACACATACACACATACATATACACACATCCAAATGCATACATACACACATGCATGCATACGTACATACATACATGCATACATACATACACTCACGTGCACATGAAACCGTTGATGTCTGTGTACATGTAGATGTATGTGTATATGCAATTGTATATTATGGGTATACATATATATATATATATGTGTTGTCATATATGTCTTTGCATTTGCACATACATATATAACCTACAATATACACACATACATATAAGGTGTATGATATATGATGTATGAGACTTATGCCACGTGATATATTACATGTTATACGCTTTATTCAATTTGTTGTCTCTCTCTCTCTCTCTCTTTCTTTTCCTCTCTGTGTATACATGTGTGAGTGTGCGTGTGTGTATATCTATTTATGTGCGTATGAACATGTATGTATGTATGTATGTATGTATGTATGTATGTATGTATATATCTGTAGACACACCTATGTTTCCATATATATATATGTGTACAGATGTACGTACATGTGTATGTATCTGTGCATGTGCATGTGTATGTGCATGTGTATGTGTATGTAAAGGTACAGGTAAGGGTAGGTAGGTAGGTAGGTCGGTCGGTCGGCGGGTGGGTGGGTGGGTGGGTGGGTGGGTTGGTTGGTTGGTTGGTTGCTATGTGTGTTTGTGCATATCTATGCACACGCATGGGGAGTTCTTCCAGTTGCAGTTGAAGGCCATCAGGCTGAAACACGGCATTGGGCGCAGAACGAAACCCGAAGTCGTCGTGCAGGAGCTGCGAGCTTTGCGGCGATGGCACGCTGGTGATGCCTGTAGGCGGTGACTATGAGAAGTCGTGGCCAGCATTGTGCCTTTGATCATTTTGAACTGTGCTCTTTTTCAACATCGCAAGTCCTGCAACCGCCATGAACAAGGAATGATAGCAGACACTGCGCAGCGCTGTGCTGCTACTCAGCTCACGCCTTCCAAGGATCAGAAGTCTTTTCTATTTTTTCGTTCTCCTGTGGTCATTTCAGGGGGCCAGGCTCTCAGACTGGGAGCCTGCAGTCTGTGAGATGCAGATAGAGGGGGAGCTGAGTAATCGATGGATCCTGAGGTCGGTATCATATGCGACGAATTTATGGCGGCGATCGAGAAGATCACCAGCAGTAAACGTTCCAAGTGGATAACAAATCCCGCTGGGCAGAAGGCAGAGCCGTACTCGCTTCTGTATTCCACCGCATCTTGAATCTCTGCTCGAAGTCTTTGACCGCCTCCGTGAAAAGCCCGACACCGGAAAACCCCATCATATCTCGACAGCAAAATTTCGCTTTATGGGCTTGATTTCGTGCAATACCGCAAGAGGATGTCGCAGTTCCCACTTCCGACTTCCTAAGGTGCATGTTCCGATGCGCCCTCGTGGTAAGTTAGAGTTCCGCAAGAAGCGTGGACAGTACTGAACTGTACCGTTCACGTTTTTGTTTGAGCCTGCGGCAGCCTCCCAACCGAGCAGGCGTACCGATCCCCAACCAGAACAACAGAAATCCCAGCCTTGCATTCTGTAATCCCTCAACACCGTGCCAGGTTGAAGTTCGCGTCACCGTCTGGAACGAGACTCTTGCGAACTTGAGCCTGATGGCACTTTGTGCAGCATCTCAGAATCTCAGAGCCTTCGACCTCGCCTGAAGCATCGCTCCGGGACCTCTCTGTCGGTCATAGACTCCTAACCGACTAGTTCTTGAGATGTGCTCGGGATCAAGTCCTTTCGCTGGCAATTGCTGTAGCACCGGCAGCAGTGGTGATGGTCGTCGTGGTCGTTGTAGGAGCAGTAGTAGTGGCAGCAGCACATGCACCGGTGAGTTGTCCCATCTCCCCTGCCAAGGCACTAGGCCCGGCCTGGGCTTTGCGCTGCTTTCTTTTTGCTTGGACGTCAAAAGCTGTCCAATCGGGCATCTCGGGTGGTAGACTTTAGGGTTTAGGTATTGCCACGAGCAGGCAAGAAAGATGTGCCCCCTGAGATAAACTTCGTCAAGAAAAGTCGAGTCAGACGGGTTGGTGGAGTCTGCGGATGAGTCGCTGAAAGCTTCTTGCGAGAGCAGAGATGTTCAGGGAATGGCAAGCTAGGTCTTTGCTCTGTGCACAAAATCTGGGACAGGCTCCTCAGCTCCAGAGATTCTTCTTTCTACTGTGGAGTTCCTTGGCTTCCTTGTTCTGTTGGCTTGTCCGTCCAACGCCCTGAGCCTCCCAGTATAAGCAACGCACAGGCTTTGCAGCAATCGATTCTTCTCGGGCAGCCTTGGTCCACAAACAGTTGTGGGAAGCGCATCCTTCAACCTGTTCTGTGTCTTGGCTCTGCAAGCTCAGCACGATTCATTGTCGTGAGGAGCTGAAACGACTGGCAAGAACAGATGCGACAGTGGCAAGCTTCAAGCATTATTCACTCCAATACTGTATAATACGCTTCAGCAGAATCATGCATGCTGGTTCATGCCATAGCAAAGCCTGTGATCAGTCAATCCTGTTTCTGGTGGGGGGGAGTGTTGGAGGAGGAGGCGGAGCAGCCCAACTCGTAGAGAACCTAGCGGGAGTCGTTCTTGCGACCTTGCCCACAGCGGCAGCAAGACTGCCATTTCTGAACCTCTCTTCAGCCTCCGAGGCATCTCGTCCGTGTGCATCTCGGCGCTGGCGCCTGGGGAGGTGCGACGCGTCGAGAAGTATCCAGTCTTCTGTTTCACGTGCGCCGCATCGGTGATGGCCTACGTGCGACCTGGCTCAGAGCATTTGGATATTTTTGAAGGCTCACGGTCACGGACTGTTTGCATTGCTCCAACGTGCGAAGGGCGATCGAGCGCTGGAGATTTCAGCTATGGCGAACTCAGGTGGATGTTGGTTGTGTTGGCTGGAATTACACCTGACCGCGTGGATCTTGCTGAAGGACGATGTGCTGTCAGGGCGTTCTACAAGTAGCCTTGTGAAGGATGTGCTCGAACGCAACGCAACAGAGTCCTGCCAGGAGTCGTTACCTTGCTGTTCTTCTTCGTGTTCTTAGGCATCGCCTTCATCCTGGACAAGTACTTTTCCAAGACCGGGGTAGGTGCTGATGTGGCGGAGGTGCACAGACAGCCTCCTGGCGAGCAGCCAGGGTATGATGCAGTCACGGTCGCCGACAAGAGGGAGAGTTGGGTTTCGTCCAAAAGCGCCCTTCAGGCTAGAAGCACGATTCGGTCAGGCTGTTTCTCTCGAAGGACGGAGTGGCATGCACTTTAGAGGTGCTTCTCACTTCCGAGCCCTTGCGAAAGCCTACGCATGTCAATCCCAGATCAGAACATGCAGCAATTCTCGCGGACCGGAGACGGCAGTTCCGTGCTGTGCTCCCGGCTCGCTGCGGAGGAGTTCAAGCAATGATGAAGACGCAGGCGAAGAAACAGCCCTGCGAACCTCGAAACACTAAGAACGAAGCCAAAGGCGCGGCAATTTGAGACAGGTTTTCCTTGTTTGTGTTTTCGCTCGATCTCCACGTACTGGGTTGTTCCTGATGCAATCTGCCAGGCCAAATCTTGCGACTCTCCACTGGTGGCAAGAAGCAGCCGATCGTGTGTGCATATGGCTTCGTAGACTCGGAGGCACATTGCAACGAGATGTACCTTCCGTGTTCAAGCGGAGTGACCGCTTGTGCTTTGAGTAGTGACCACGCGACTAGTATCAACATGCAGTCGATGTCGCAATCTTTCGCTGGTGGTGCAGGTAGTTTTCCACGAGGGTGATGGCTGTGCCAGCCTGCAGATAACAGCCTTCAATGGCCCACATCCAGCACCGGCAGCACGCTTACCTGTCACAGCATCGTCGGAGCGCGTGAGACTCTGCTGGAGGTCTTACTAGCTGCGCAATCTGAGACATGATTCCAGAAAGGTCCGCATCAAGTATCGCACCCGAAACGGGATGGCGAAGGCAGGAAAGCGGCCACGAAGCTGAATTCCACGTGAACAGAAGCTTTTCCTCGTGCGGCGAGCCTTTTCGTACTTCAAGGATCGGTATGCAATCCCAGCTCAGGTATCAGCAGAAATCCGGCGTCTTGCATTTCCACCCCGAGGAGGAGAAGCAGGAATTGAGGACACTTGGGTTTGCAGATACCGTCAAAACACGCAGCTGAGTCGAGTTGACACATCCGACCTTCAGGATACCTCTCATGATGGCAAAAGGCCCTCCTGAGGAATTCTATGTCGAGCTCACCGAGCCTCCTGGCATGACGTTCACCAGAATGTTTAGCGTTCTCAAAGCCATCGCCATCACAGCCGAGGATCCAAGCCGATGGACTCGAAGGCAAGAAAAATCCGCCGGTTATCACACAATGTGGCAGCTGTCAGAGACTTAGACTCTGACCCCGCCCCTGCGACGGGACATGTGATTGAGAGTGCAACCACTGCTTTTGTTGTGAGGTCTGGTTTGGGTCCTTTCATCCCCAGAGGCCGCTCAGCTGAAAATTTCCAATGGCCGTTGCACACGAAGAGTGCTTTCTTTATCCGAAACGGACACTCAGCCCGCGACCAAGGAGGGCGGCAGCGGCCGCTTGGTTTCTTGAGCCTCGTGTCCGTAGCTCCACGGATACCGGTGGCTTTCATACCTCGTGCCATTCAGGAAGTGAGCATGCTGGTCACACTGGCCACACCGCGGTTGTTCTTTCTCCCACTAGTGATGGAGGTCCGGCCCACTTTCCGGCTTGCTTGAGCGTTTTAGTGGACTGCAACGTGCTGCCCTGCAGGTCGGGACTCCCGCAGAATGCAGCACCTCGCGGCCGTGCCAAGTGTGATGCCAAGTTCTGTAGTATGAGATCGTCGATGTCCAGCCCGACATGACAGTGAACGTCAAAGTCTACCTAAGGTGAAAACGAACCCGACACTTCGAGGGCGTTATCGGAGATCCGATCTGAAATCAAGTCGGAGGCAAAATCCGACGGCAGATCAGATGCACAAGGCCAGATACTGCCATGTTAGTGCCGGGGTTAAGACAGAGCTTTTGATTTCGTCACGCGTGCTTGCTAATGATGCTAATGATGCTTGTGCTAGCAGGGCCCGAGGAAGAGGACGAGCCTTTCAGCTTCTCGCATTGGATGGACAAGGCGGGCCGATACGCTGAAACCTGCAGGAGGTTCTTAAGCATTGGTTCGCAGGCAGTGGAAGCTTTCTTCTGCAACGGCAGTGCCGAGGAGCACCCTGACAGAAAGGACATGCTTTCGTTTGTTTTACTTCAGCCGCTGCTGGCTAGCAGCAGAGCAAGCCCGAAAGACTAATCACCTCATGAGACTCGAATCGTGGAAAGAAAGTTGAAAGAGTGTGGCACCCCAAGGCAGGCGCAGGCTACGGCTTTCGACTGGCTGATGCATTGTTTGGCACTGACCTGGAAGACGGCTTTTCTGATCGCCCTCCTGCTGCAGTCATACGGTTCCAATTTTCCGTGAGCGAGTTAGTGAGTTAGTCAGTTAGTGGTGTTTTCAATATTGTGTTCCAACCAGAAATACTGTCAGAACTACGTCGCAATTTTTAAAATGTCGAGGTCCCCCCGCCGTCGCTGCTGGGTGCCTACCCGGCCTTCTTCTGCTCTTTGCTTGGCATCGGCTTGGTCACCGTGGCCCGGAGCCGAGTCGCCGAGCTCCGCCCGCGAAGCATCCTCTCTTTCTGTGACATAATATAATATATGATATAATATACTATACTATACTATAATATAATATAATATAGTATAGTTAATAAAATATAACATAATATAATATAATATTCTCCTCTCTCTGGCACTCCGGAGGTCATCAACGATGCAGCGAGCTTGCTGGGTTGCTCCATAGGCCAAGCGCCTTCAACAACTTCCCGCGAGCACCGTGCTGTGATCGCATGTGCAGGCATGGCAGATGACCTAACGGCGATCACCTTAGTTGCGCTTGGGACCAGCTTGCCAGAGCCTGGGCGGCAGATTGCACAACCGCAGCAATATTCCATGTTTTTGAAAGGAATCGGAGCCCGAATTGTAGCAAAGGACACCATGGCGTCCAGAACGTCCGCCAAGTCGGACGAGACTGCCGACAACTCCATCGGCAACATCACCGGCAGCATTTTGGCCGCGGTGGTCTTCAGATATCCCTCTCGCAGGTATACAAGACCCATGGATGTGGCAGGGGTTTCGCTTGGGATATAGGCAGGTGCGCAGCTCGAACTATTAGCGACAGCCTTGAATGATCCAGGCAATGCGGTGAATGTGCTGCTGGGTATGGGCATCAGCTGGACGATCGGCGCTGCCTATTGGGCGCACAACGGAGTCACGGACGATTCCCGGCTTGCAATTCGTGCAGAGGTTCTTTAAACCCGCACTGCCTGAGTATAGGTAGGCATCAAAACGTGCCCACAAATCGGCGCTTGGGATTCCGGCTGCTCGGGCCTGCTGCATGGCTCTTCAAGGCCGAGGGGCCCTCATTTTATGAGGTTTGCAGAGGGCTGGGACGAGGCGGCTTGGGAGATTGTCTTACTTAAAGAACTGGCTGGATGAACGACAAAAAGTATGGGCGAAGCCTCCTTCGGTTACTAATTAAGACGAGCAATGGAGCAGCATGTGGAGAAAGGCATACAAATCTGTGTGACTGACAGGATGACTGCCCCTGAGATAGCAGTGCGAGTAAGATCTACGGTTTCGTGTGCATGTTGCTAACACAGGTCTTTCCAGAAAACTGTGCTCAGTCTTGCTGGTTATGGCACGAAAAAGGTTACTCGTCGTCGCAAGGGGAATCTTGCCATATCACGAGTATTTTCTCAGTATTCAAGGTATGACTGATGTTATCACTGGTTAGTCAGTACGATCTAAATTCAGATAGGAGCACTGGTGCCAGTATTCGACAGCTAAAATGTGATGTTGGACTGGCAGCGGTGGTTTGTTCAGGCGATTCAGAACACGAGCAACATCAACCGTGTTTCCATGTCGATTATCACTAGCATGGTCACAGAAGTTGGCAGAACAGCATGAACTGCACTGTTACCGAAATGCCATGAAGATGGTAGCCGCCCAAAGGGGATTGCCAATGCCTTGCTGGGTGACACCAAGCCGTAAAGAAGCCCCAGCCTCAGGAGTGGAAGGGACATCAAACAACGGCTGGCAACTACGAAACGCACGGCTCTCGGAATTCGGGACAAGGGTCCAGGCCTTCCTCGGTATTCCGTGCTCCCTAAAGAGATGCCACAGGGGCGGCACTTTGGTAAAGTCCGTGAGCTCAGGCTCTATCTCGGCAGCAATCCCGAGGGCGGCTTCATCGTAGTGGCAGGCACATGTGGCATGCAGGGATCTAGTCGAAGAGGCTTTGCCAGTCTTGGATCGTGTTGAGAGTGTCGGGCAAGAGCATGAGCCAGCCGAGATGTGCATCTTATCCTACGTCTGAGCCTCGATCCTGTTGCAGTGATGTGCACAGGAGCGATCTCTTTCTCTGTCTCAGCCTTTGCAGTGCTTGCGATGCTCTGTGTGGCACTGCCGCTTGCATGATCTTGGTGCAATTGGGTCTTGGGTGGTCGCCCTGGTTGGCTGGAATTCGCGATGCCACAGAATGGAACGCGCAGGAGAAGCCAGAATAATTTGATCTCTCGAATTTGATTCTTATTTTCGAAGTGTGCTCGGCTTCTCCGTGCAGTGCAGCGGTGTGCTCTGCACATTTCTGTGCTTCACACGAGGCTGTACATGCGACGGGTCACTTATGGCGGAGAGCTGGGTGGACCCTTACTGGCGCAGAGGACGCTCGATTAGGCGATCCCTATTCAGCCTCGTGCTTGACACTTTCATCCTTGCAGCTTGACGTAAGAGGATGTCCGACGCTGGCAACTCCAATTCAGGGTTTGCATCATGCGGACTGCTCATGTACCAGAACCACTGGCAGGAGAGATAGCTTCCTTTGCTTCCTCTTGTGGATTATGCAGCCCGAAGCATTTATCCATGTTCACGTACTGACGCATTCTCATTCACGAGTCAGGGCCGGACAAGGCCCAAGACAGTTTTCTCTGCATGTCTCATGCACCATGCAGGTTTATTGCCGCGAACGTCGTGTGACTGGGCTGCACTGAATCCGCCTTCAATCCGAAAGCAGATGCTTCGGGCGCAGATGCCTGTCAGGTTTAGCCTCGTCTACTGAGAAATTGGCTGTTTCTTGCTGGGCGTGAAAGCCTGCAACGGGATGCTTCGTGAGAGCACCCAGCATGCACCGCCCAATTGGGCAAGCTGCATGAACAGCAGAACAAGTGTATGTTTTCAACATCAGAATACATACTTTCATGTCATATGCATTAACGATGGTATGCGGCGCTGCACATACGGTGCCGACGATTCGGTGTGCTAACCCGAGCAGCTGCCATTGCCTGATAGCTTGCGAGTCCCTTACCATTTCAGCTCGCCTGGCGCACACTGGTCTCAATTTTTGCCAGGTCATACCGTGGCATTGTTCTGTGACTTTACAGACCGAGGGAAGAGATAGCGTCCATGTTGGAGCTGAGAACCGTAGATTAAGGAGCACAGCGGTGCACTGACTTGGTGAGACAGTCTAACGTTCATCGAAGCTCAGCGGTGACCAGCTTCCAACGGCTTCCAGCCAAAGGCTACGGGCCACTGGACTTTGTGTGTGCAAGATTCCACCATCCTGCAGCATCATCCGGTAAGCTAGAAGCGCAGTGTCTTGGAAGTTGACAGTTCTTAACTCATGAGTTTTCGCTGACGAAAATTTTTGCAGGATCTGTCCATGACAGGTGAATCATTCTTACAAGCCCTGATGGATTTCACCACAAGCTCCGGCAACTTGCCGCTTTCAGCTTTCTGTCTCGTCATTTCACCTCCAAGAGAAAGACTTCTGCCGGGTCTGGATAAAGGCCTCTCCAGTTGACCCCGCAACCGCGCAACGCGGTTCCGTCGCTGGGGAGTTCTACACCCCGCATATGACAGAAAGTTGTCACCAAAACCGCAAGTTATTCCGTTCGGCGCGCAGGCAAAAGGTTCGCGGAAGCCGTGCCAGAAGGATCTCGGAGTGTCAGATGCCAGAGGGATGTCAGTTCGTTCAATGGCTGCCCCCTTGCGCAGCATCTTCGAGAAAGAGAGGGAGCAGCTCCTCAGCTACGATGGGCACGCGTTTCTGTACTTCGCTGCGAGCTGAGTTGCTGTCTGATGCCTCCCCTCCCTTCTCTTACCCGCTCTTCCCATCCCCTCCCTTCCCCCTTGAAAGCATTCCGCCTGCGCTGCGCCAAGGCGCTGTGCATGCTCACGGCATCATGCTGAGATGGAGATTGGGGGAAGAGCACGGCTACGGAACCATCAAGGGTAGATCCGGCTAGTGATACGATGCAGCTTGGAGCTCAGGTCATTCTGTTGCCGTGGACATGGTATCTTATGCGTTGCCTTCTCTTTCCCAGGCACCGGCCGTAGGACCGCAGGAGACCTTCGAACCTTCAAGGGTTGTGAACGGAGCTCTGACGCTTCACCTTGGAGAGGCCGCCCCCGGAGCTGGACTTCGAAACTGGTGGTCTGAAAAGCGAGGACTGCGATTGCACGGACCTTTCTCTTTTCCATTTTGGAAATGCCTTTTTCTGCTCTTTCTAGGACCTTAGGACGTTGCCGGAGCCGAGACAGCGCAAGCAACCATAGATCATCTTATAAAGAACGAGTGGCATCGTGCTGGTGTGCGACCGTCCACAGAGCCACACGGGGCCAAAGCTGGTCTTCACTAGAAAACGCATCGGTCCAATCGGGGATATACCAAAAGGTCTCAAGGCTTCAATGCATTCGAGTTTGAGCTCTCGAGACACATAGCCACGCAGCGGACCGCGCCGAATCGGATGGTGTGGTCACTCAAGCTCTCATGTTTCTGTGAGACCGGATCCGATGATGCACAGCTTGTGCCAGTCGCGCGCCGGCATGCGGTTCTGTTCCAGCTGTCAGCACCACACTGAGCGCCGGCTGCACCAGCACGGCTACGGTGCACCTGGCGTTGTGATGGGTGATTCTTGTCAATCGCGAAGCCGTAATCACTGCAAGCAGGGAAACCCGGGTCATGCAAGCTTTTGCACATGGCAAACATGTCAAAGGAGAGGGAGAGGCCAACTGGAAAGCACGTTGAGTAACGTGCAAACCTTGAAGCTTCTCGGGGCTGACTGGCGGCAATGTTGTGATCCTTCAAGAATCTGTCTCATGCCGACAAGCAGCATCAGACAGAGATCTTGGATATTTCGGTTTAAACGTGGAGCGTGTCATCCTAGTTGACATGGTATCGGCATATCGGCTGCGCACTGTCATGGATGAGCACAGTCCGGAGCCAATCGTGAAGAGGGAGGGCGACGACAGGAATACCGAAGATTGACTGGAACCGTTGAATGTTTGGAGAAGATTGTCGATAGGGCGTAGCGACGGAACGAGGAAGCGGGGAAGAGAGCAAAAAGGGAGCGAAGTGGTGCTAGGACAGCAGGGTGAAGCTCTGCGGAACCTCCCTCATGCAGGCGCAGGGTGCAGGGAGGATTGAAAAACCCGAACTGAATCGATGCCCGATGCCCCAGACGCACCCAGAACTGATCCTGAGAGCTACGACAGGCTCGTCGACACAACGCGCAGCAGATTGCCAAGCGGCGGAGGCTTGCTGATTTCTCCAAGGCTTTGCTGTTGTTGATGCGGCTGTGGCTTTAGGGGCTATTTGTAGCACTCAGCCGGGTACCGGTTAGATTCGTGCTTGGGAATGTTTGTCCTGCACATGCCTAGTGGGTCAGGTTTCGTGGCATCATCAAGGTGCAGCTGGTCGGCGCAGCGATTGGATGGCCTGCCTCGTCCGGTTCAGCGCTTGCTCGTATGCATCTGTAAGCAAGCATGTGCCGTAGCAGGAACTCCAGACAGACGGAGTTTACGGCATCAGTCTGTATGCACATACTATGTGGACACAGCTCGCCAGAGATGATAACAATACAGGCATACGGGATCAAGCCAAACAAAGCCAGCTCCTTGCCCGGGTTGGAATGGCATCATCAAGCAGCGCCTCCCCTGAAGCTTTTCTGCCTTTCTTCATCGGTCCAAGAAAGCGGCCACAGAGATATGAATATCATGGAGATCCCGACTTGTGGTGGAACGAGTGCCAGCTGTTCCGGGCCAGAGATTCGGGCTCCGAGTGTCTGTGAGTGTTCAAGGCAGATGGTGAAGGTTTTCAGTGCAACTGGCATTCGAGCAATGTTTCAGGACTCTTGACAACCCTTGGGTTCCTGGCATGCACTTCTGGGGCGTTTTTGTGAGGAAGACCGGTGGCTGGAAGGCTGTTGGTGAATTTCAAAGGACAATCAGCCATGTTCTGGATTCCGTGCCCGGCTCTGCACCAGGAAAGCCTGGCAACCATGGAGCTGATGAGTTCGTTGATGTAAGAGTGGCGCCTGTCGACGAACGGTTTTATACAAGGCGGAATCACACCACACTTTAGAGATGAGAAACCCTGGGAGATGCTGATAAGTCAACTGAACGTTGAGGAACTGGACCCCTATGAGGGAGGAGTTTCTTCGGTTGGAGGTCATTCAGATGTGTGGGAAGGTCTACTCCAAGGACAATCGTCGCCTGTTTTGCCTAAAGAGTCACCAAAAAGAAGTCAGGCAACAGTTCGGCTGGAAAGTATGGGTCAAGATGATTGTCACTAGTATAGAACCAGATTGGGCTGTTCGTGATTGTATTCTGCGAGGTTTGTACCGGCATTTCAGGGAGGTGATTGTCCGAAGTCCGAAGAGGCAAAGGCACAAAGCCTAAGAAGGCTGCAAGTTTTGAGAGCCTGTGGAGTCTAATTGGGCTTTTGTTTCTTCATGTTAGCCGGAAGCTGCTCGTGCGGCCGAAGGCTCATGAAGGCGATGCAGCGCAAGCGACACAAGCTGAGAAAGGAACGCAGTGGCCATGCAGAACATATTGCACGTTGGATGGGCCATGCCATTGCAGCTTCGCCGAGATGGCGCCATCTGCAGGAAGTGTCTTTCTGTCCAGACATGTAATGCCTCTGTAGAAAGCGCCTTTGTCGACGCTCCCATGATTTGCCAGGGCGTTGCTCTTCTGGGTGCTCTGGGAGATGAAGGCACGGCGGTCCGACCCCTCGCGCAGGAGACCATTCCGAAGAGATCAAGAAAATGCAGCCATGCCGGAGACAAGCCTATCTTCGACTCTGCAAAGAAAGCCTCCTGCTGTTATCAGCTCGAGCTCTGCGGTGCAGGGCGCGCCCACCGAGCTGCGAACTTTCGACCCCTACGATATCCTGGGGGCTGCTTGTCTCTAGTCAGAGGGCTTCTCCTTCTATCTCTCTCTCTCTCTCTCTCAAAATCTCCTTGCGTCCCTTTTTCTGTCTCTCGGTCTTTCTCCATCTCTTCGTCTCGACCTCCTTCGACACCTCCCATGCTGGGCCCTCCGTCTGTTCCATTTTCTTGAGTCCTGGCAATTCCTGGCTACTTTCGTCGAAGGTCCAGCGTGGAGCAGAGCTGCGAGAGATCAAGAAGGCTTGGGCCGCGTTGCTTTGATGCTAAGGGGCTGCGACCAGTTGAATTGCAGCTGCAGGCCTACCACACGAAGTCTCTGCAGCATCATCCAGACAAGGAGCGTCAGAAAGATGGAGTGCCTGACTGAATGATGTGCTAGTGCTGCTCAGCAAAGTCTTGCTGCAAGTGCTGCGTTGGAAAGGACAAAGACAATCCCTTGGCGCCGGTTCTCTTCCAGCAGGCCGAGTGCCGATTAACGTGTCTTGTGAACTGAAGTGCATGCAGCTTAAGTCAATATGGAGAATATCAGATAATGAGCTCTTCACTGCAAAGTCATGCAGGTCTCAAAGGCATATGCAGCCCTTACAGATGATGCTGCGCGGAAGAACTACGAGAAGTGCCTCCTTTTGGGCAGTTGCGTATCCACTTGATATCGGCTTGTCTCGCAGTTTGGTTTTAGAGGAGATCGCAGCTGAAACTTACGGACAGGTCTCACGCCGCTAGTTCAATCGAGCATGCTTTCTGTTCTGCATGATTCAGAGATGCACCGCAACAGGGGAGAGGGTTCTCTCCACGAGTCCGGGACGATGTGCACGAAAAGTCGGTTTGCAAGAATGTACACTACCTTTAGTAGAAAGCCGTTAACTAATTGGCTACGGCGAGTTCAAACATGACAGCTGAACACAGTCCATATGTTCAGAATGGCCACACTGGGGCGCCCTCCCAGTTCATGTGTGTGCCGCCATAATTCCAGCTCCCAAGACTTGCTGTAGCAATAGGCTGCTAGACCATCGTACGGTGTTTGAGCCGGCAGCGTGGGTATCAGACCGGTCGCTTCCGCGGCCATCTGAATTCAACCGTGAAGCCATAGATAGCAGGCTAGCGACGAAGGAAGTCCTTCACTTGGCCAGGGTGCCATGCTCGCTCTTTCAGCGGTCGGGCTCTCTGTGACCGTTGTCGTTGGTCTCTTGGCCATTGCATTGCAAATGAATCTGGACAGGCCCTTCTTAGCACCACTGGTCTCAACACTTGTTCCGCTGGGGGTGAAGAGGAACTCGCAGAAGCCGATTGTCGGCGACCGGATGTTGGTCACAGACCTTGAACAGCTCGTGGTCGTGATGACCGGCACAGGCACACCAGTTGCAGACCCTGATCGTGCAGCACAGGGGATATCAGTCTTTGCAGGCGGAGAGTATTTGCTCTTCGATACAGGCCCGGGCGTGGCGGAGAACATGGCTGCTCAGGGCATGCCGAGGGGTGCTCTGACCCATGTCTTCTTCACCCACTACCACTCCGACCACATCGGCGATTTCGGCGAAGTGATGACCACATCCTGGGTTTTTGGAAGGACTCAAACCTTGCAAACCCATGGACCGGAAGGTCTGAAAAGGGTCGTGGGTGGATTTGCTCAGGCCTACGGTCCTGACATGGTCTACCGTCGAGCACACCACACTGCAGCGGTGATGCCCACCGATAATTGGATGCCGAGCATGAACGAGTTCACCTTACCGGATGCTGAGATGAACATGACAGCATCTGATCCTGCACCTTTCTTTAATGTGTACTCGAAAGGGGACTTGAAGGTGCAGGCCTTTCGTGCACATCATGAGCCGGTCGTTCCAGCAGTGGGCTACAAGGTGTCATACAAAGGCCGCTCGGTGGTTATTGGAGGTGACTCCGTCATGACCAGAGGACACAAGGATGCTTGCCGGGATGTGGATGTTTGTATTCTGGATGCGATCCACCACAAAGTCATTGAAGTGACAGCGGAGACATTTAAAAACATGGACCTGTCAGAGGACCAAGGAGCTTCTCAATACACTCGCGTCTCGAAGATGCTTCTGGACACTATCGACTACCACTCGGCACCCTGGGACCTTGTCGAGTTGGCAAAGGAATCGAGGCCCTCTCTGGTAATCCCCATACACATGGTACCTTCACCCACCAATCCACTCATGAAGCGGCTGTTGACCACCTACTACCGGGAACCGATCGAGCGGGTGTCAGGCAAGCGGAACACTGAAATCAAGTTCGGTGAAGATGGCATGGCATTCATTTTGCCGGCAAACAGTCAAGAGATCCAGGAAAAGCGATATTGACGCTGAATTTGGCCGTCTGTACACGAGAGTGGGAGCAGTGCAGGGTCGGCTTCGGCTTCAAAAGACCTGAAGAATCGTTCGAGAGCCCTCCTTGCCGGTTTCCTGGGGTCGCATCTATGAAAGACGAGAGATCAAGCCCTTGCGTCGCGACCTTTAGGTTGCTCCAGGATCCAGTTTCTCATGCAGAGGTACGGGAATCCAGATGGGCCCGTGCAGATGAAGGCGTGAACCTAGCCAATCGTAGCAGTCTTCGTTGATGCTGAAGTTCATGTCATGTGGTGCTGCTCATGATACTTCCAGGAGCAAGGCGCCCAGAGCAGTCTCTCGTTGCTGCTGCCTTGTTGGATTGGATGTGCCCCTGGCTCCGAGTTTCACCCCGCAAGAAAACGCATTGACAAGCAACCTGCCACTGCATTCACCGAGAAATGGACTTAGCATTCCACGGAGAGCTGCAGTGATTCAACAGGCCAATAAGTACTAGCAGCATCAGAATTGCTTCAGCTTTTGCCGGTAAGCTGTACTGACGGGGCCCCGAATTAAACTCTACAAGAACTGGTCCTGCTTCGTGTTCCTCCTCACCACCACGAGCGAGCGCCATGGCCTGAGCATTGTGGCGACTCGAGTCTGCTCTTTCGCGTGAGCGACGCGCGCAAAGGGAAGAATTTCTCGCGACACGTAGCCGAAGTGGTCGTCGTGTTCAAAAGCCCTAGCCCTGTAACTAGCAGGAAGTGGAAGACGGACGCGGGGGTCAAGTATGAGACATTGTGGTTTCGGTCGAGACAAGTCGATGCATATGGGGGTGCGGATGGTGGCGTCGTCTCCCAAGGACCCCCCGTGCTTCACCCGCGTAGAGTGGGGACCCGAAGTCTCGAAATTTTTTCGGCCTCGGGCCTCCCAGCACGAAGGTTCGCTCCCTGCGTGCTTCTTGCGCAGCTGTTGGATCCCTTCAGCGGGGCGTGCTGCCCTCTGTGAGGTTTGGCTGCTGCATGTGGGCCAGGAGGCCGATGAAAGCTTGTGGTTGTGGGATTGTCCTGCTGTCTTGCCGACTTCCGTCACGTGAGAAGATTTCTGGCATGAGAATCACAGCTGTCGGTCTGCCTGTTGTCACTTTGAACGGAGCCCGTAGCTGCCGTAGCTGCCGTAGCTGAGCAGGTGCGGTGCAAAGCCACGATGGCCCTCCAGGATCAAGGCTCTGTGTGCGAAGTCGAGCTACACTGTGGGACCTGTTGGCGAGAGACATCAAGAGACTCGGATGCACATGGTGGCTGCTCTGACATTGCAAAGGTGGTGTTCTTCAGCTTTCTCTCCGGGACGCTTGGGCTCTCGGTGTACATGTGCCGCACTTACAGTCTCGACTTGTCTTGGTGCTTGGGATCGTTGCTTCGACTCTCTGAGGTACATGTCCGGACTGAGCGCAGCAGCCACAGAGTCCAAGTAAGACATGCCCTGCAGAGTGCGCGCACTCCAGCAAGATCGCATCTGCAGTTGCAAGAGCACACCATGCGAAACCCTGCCGAAGCCTGCGCGTAGCGGAAGCCCCGCAAGGCAAGTCAGAGAACCTGGAGCCAGAAGTCCCTTTGCCCAGACTTCGTCGTTGGACCTGTCGCGATCGACTTCGGAGCAGCCGCTCTGTCTGACCTCCTGGCCTCAACGCTACGACCAGGCACGGGAACAGCAAGCTGAGCCTTTCTGAGATCCCGCTCCTCTCTTCGCAGCCCAGCACCTGAGGTCGTCACTTCCACGATTTGGAATGAGGCCTGGAAGAATCTGCCACTTCCTGTGCTCCACGAGCAATTAGAGTCATGTCAGGACGACGTGCTCTTCAAAGCGCCAGGTGCGGACGAGGACACCTTGATACCATTTGATATCTGCCTCCCGCTCTTCCGTGTCATCACTTCGGAGAGCCTCCCTGACACTCAGACTGTGGGACCGTGCGAGGAGTTCTTTGCGAAGTACGGCTGCGAAGTTCCAGCGCTGTCTGGCGCAGTCTGTAGGCCGCTCTCGCTCTAGTCGGCTGCACGTGGTGTTATGCGCCACTTTTTGTTAGGGACGTGAGCTTCCACACAGAGGATCTTCAGCGACCGTGCTGACCAAAGCACGAGGGCCGGGGCGGCCGGGGACCGGCTCCTGCCTTTGGCTTTGGCCCAGGCTTGCCTTGGCCATGGGCGCCACGGGCTTCGACTACGACCTGATGGGCGCTTGGGCCCCTCGGAGCGAAGCTGATCCCGGCTCCCGGATCCCCCTCAAAGACTTCACTTCCCACGCCTTGACGCCTTGAGGCGCTTTGGTGGCTTCTCTTGACGTTGGTGGCCTGGGTTGGGGTCACCATACACGACTTGGCCCTGATTGGCCAATCCCAGAAGGCGCGCTGCGGGCTTGCAACAGTGAATCAGTGAATCTAGAACAACTTGCGAGCGGACTGAAAATTGAAGACATCGGAAGGACTTCGTCCTTGATGTCAGTGGTGTCAACAAGCACTGCCCTTGCATCCGAAGCGTTTGGAAGTTTCTAGCTGGCTACAGGCGGGACTGCAGCCAAGCTCTCGTGACCATCATGTGCGCCTGTGACTGCACATTTCAAAGGCCACTGGTGCGCTTGGCAAATTCCGAGCGCTTCGGAACACGTTCTCTCGGCATCGTGTCTCGTGCTGAGCCGTTGCGTTGAAGTCCAGAAGGTACCGCCGGATGCCACAACATTAACTTGTCACCATCTGAACCATTTTCAGCTCTTCAGGCTTGCGGTGCTGCTGGCTCCAGTTCTGTTGGCCATTTGCCAAGTTACAGCTGCCTTGAAAAGGGTGCCGCCAGCCATCCGTTTTTGCCAAGGCCTGGAATTTGGTGGTGCTGCTTTTCATCATCTGCCCGTTGATCCTTTTTGCTTTCATGTTGCTCGGGCGCAGCACAGCTACATAAGCTGCATGTGGGATTCTGGCAGTTTTGTTTGCAGGGCTAAGACTCAAGCGTGATGTTTGCGGTACCGCATGTCGATTCCGTCAAGAAGTTGCCAAGTCTGGCTGCAAGGCGATATCCAATCCGAATGAGCGGCAGCCTGAGAGCAAGACCTTGTCGGCTCAAGAAGAATTCGAGCAACACGAGGTCGTGCATGGGTCTTCATCATCTCGGTAGCCTGCGTTCTCTATGGATCGGCGCTCACAATGCAGCAGCTGGCTCGTGCCCCATTTTCTTGCAGCTTTGCCCGAATCCGGAAGCCGGTTCGGCCGCGGGCGTGGATTCTGCGCATTCCTCGTGTGTGCGCTGGACGCTAAACTGCCTTGCTTGCGAAGGCCTTCGTGGCTCGCACCGATCTGCGTCCGAGATATGCCCCGCCCTTTGAGCCACGCAGGCACCAAGACCTCCCAAGTCAGCCCAGCCTGCCATGAACTCCGGTTGCGAGAGCCGTTACATGCGCTTCGCGTGCATCCCCCTTTGATCGAGGCACTGACCTGGGAAGCCCAGGGCTTTCAAAGCGCATCTTTGCAGCTGTGGCCTCGGACATGCAATCGGTAACGGTAGACCATACTTGTAGCTAGTCGTCGTCGTCGTTGTGGTGGTGGTGGTGGTTAGTCAGTAGCAGTAGCAGTAGCAGCAGCAGAAAAAAAGTAGCAGTAGCAGTAGCAGTCGTAGTAGTAGCATCAGCGGCAGCAGTAGTAGTGGTAGTAGTCGTGGTAGTGGTAGTAGTGGTCGTAGTAGTAGTCGTAGTAGTCG